TATTAATTACCCAATTTGCATAATTAACCAATTTTAAGCTGTCACACTGATATCTAAAGTACTAATTTCCATTTTAATGAAACTTAGTACAAAGATGCTCTAGGACAATGTACAAACCTAATTAGTTTGGAGTAAAACTCTGTTCATATTATTTCCCTAATTAGCATAATAATTCATAATTTTTTGGTTCTAATCACATTTCAATTAAACTTGGTACATAAAGTTTTTGTTACATTGCGCAGACCTCATTAGTTTTACAATCAAATCTGTTCATGTTAATTTTCTGATTTGCATAATTAGTTTTCAGCTAAGTAATTTCAAATTATATTTAATGTGTCTCCAATACTCTCAGCACCTGGGAGTTCTTTCTAAGCTTTCTTTGATTAATATTGACAATAATGTTTTCTCATTGCAGAGGAGTCTACCTTTATTACGACAGACTCTACACAAGTCACCTATCCAAGGATTAACTGCCCCTATGCTGACTAGTACTGGTTTGAATGCAGCTACAATAACTGTGACATCCACCACAGCGGGAACTTCAACAGCAATGCCTGTCACAAATACCATTACTCTTACGCAACAGCAGCTGCAACAGTTGCAGCAACAACAAAAACTGCAGCAAATGCAAAAACTGCAACAAGATCAGTTGGGGAAATTACAACACTCAAAACATGTTGGAGCAAGGCATATAGTAGTGACACAACATGGTACATCGGTAGACGGTGTGACAACGGCAAGTAATTTTACAGCTGCTACTGCCAAATCATTTAAGGGTCATCATCCTGTAACTTTTACTTCACCAAGTCACAAGGACAGAGCAAAGTACTCATCAACATTTAAGTGAGTATTACCCTGCAATACAGATACTATTCTACTATTACCCTGCAATACAGATACTATTCTACCATTACCCTGCAATACAGATACTATTCTCCTATTACCCTGCAATACAGATACTATTATACCATTACCCTGCAATACAGATACTATTATACCATTACCCTGCAATACAGATACTATTACCCTGCAATACAGATACTATTCTCCTATTACCCTGCAATACAGATACTATTCTACCATTACCCTGCAATACAGATACTATTCTACCATTACCCTGCAATACAGATACTATTCTACCATTACCCTGCAATACAGATACTATTCTACCATTACCCTGCAATACAGATACTATTCTACTATTACCCTGCAATACAGATACTATTCTACTATTACCCTGCAATACAGATACTATTCTACCATTACCCTGCAATACAGATACTATTCTACCATTACCCTGCAATACAGATACTATTCTACCATTACCCTGTAATACAGATACTATTCTACCATTACCCTGCAATACAGATACTATTCTACCATTACCCTGCAATACAGATACTATTCTATTATTACCCTGCAATACAGATACTATTCTATCTCTACCCTGCAATACAGATGCTATTCTACTATTACCCT